CTCTTAAAACTCCATGAAAATGTAGAAAAAATATACAGTCGTTTTACTTATGTGAATTAAAGCTTTATTTATGTTGTTTTTAATGTACCGGCGGTAGTCTATTTTAAATAGTCAAAATGCATATAAAGAAGTTAAGAAAATTTAAAAATTATAAAGTACAGGCACGTAGTATCGTTTTTGAAAGGGGGGGGGGGGGGCAGCCAGAATTTTTTATTTGACAACCTACCTGAAAAAAACATTGACAAGCAAAAAAAAAAAAGGTTAAGTGTCCAAACTCGAAAATCCTATTTCGGGGGGGGGGGGGGGGGAGGAGGGGGGGTCCACCTTCCACTTTCTTTTCGAAACACATTACAATACCAAATTACTTCGAATTTAAACTATCCTACAACAAAGGGGGTGGGGGCAACCAGCTTTTCAGCGGACATTTACAATAGAAGTTATGTTTGGAAAAAAGTGGGGCCCCTCCTGATGCTTCGTGCCTGAAATATTTTTTAAGAATTTATTAAGGGTACATATAATAGTCTATCGAAATCAGGATTGCAATTCAACTGGACTGTAACGATATTGTTAGACCAAATTCAAGAAGACATACAAGATGAACTTAAATTAGCTGTGACTTGGCTACACATGCATATTTATTTTCAATGCAGATTTTGACAACAATAAATTTGCACACGGTAATAAAACAAAGATTTCTTGAGGTTTCTATTCATCATATGTTTTCTTATATTTATTCGTAGTCATGCTCGAAGTAAAACAAGACCTGGTTAATGCCATTGATACACATGTACAATATTGCTATAAAGCAAACTTTTTAATTACTTGTACATGTATACGTACAAAATACAAATTGCATAGATTAGGCTTTTTAGCACATAATCTGAATTTTCAAAAATGTTAGATATGCACATGAATAATCTTTTAAAAAGTGGATCTTGCATCAAATATGTTCCTTGAATGTTATTGAAGATTATTTTCATTTTATAATGATAAAGTCATGTTCTTTTTATAATGACTATAGATTTGGGTAAAAAGGTGTTATTACAAAAAATTAGTGTTCAGAAAATAATTAAAATTTTATGCATACGAATTCTAAATGTAAAGAGAATTTGTTATCTTGGAAAATATTTGTCAAACCTCGAGATCCATAAAGAACGTGATTTATTTGCATTTTTCAAGAGTGATAAAACACGTGCTATGTTCTTTCTATTTATTATAATATCCATTCCCATTTTCTTATTTTTAACATTGTACGTAGATGTATTTAGTAATTCACTATGTTTTAAAATTTCTGATGTGTCATTATGGTTCAACGATTTGAAACTTTAATAATACATAGATTAAGATGTTGCGACTCAATCAATCCACGAACCAGATCCGCCACTAATGATATGTTTTACCGGTGCCAGGATTATTTGAGTAGAGTTTTGTTGTTTCATTTGGACAAATTTTAAGTAATAAAACACAAAAACCGCATGTACTAAAGCACATAGAGTTTATGTATTTTCCCTTTATATGGTCCTATTTATTAAAAGTGAAAACATTTATCAAGTAATTGCCATTACGAATGACGGTAATGCTTACCCTTAGGAATGTCTTGTTTTTTATTGAGTAGTTTATGACTGAAAATATGCGATATCATGGAAGGAATTCATAACAATGTAGGCTACAGATATCCAACCAAAATTGATATCCTCATATTTTATAAGTAAAGATACATGTATAATTAGAAATAAAATATTTTTTTTTATGTTTGACTTTAAAAACATACTGTTTATATCTAAGGTCAGGTAATCCACACTTTTTAATCTTTTTGAAAATAAAAAATATATCCAGCCAATGAATAATTTCCTATTCCTAAATGAAAAAAAAAAATTTGCCCAAATGAATTCATAATTAGTACAAATGAGAAGTACCAAAACAAATTCTACAATTTAATGATTATAATCAGCTATAATTCTGCCATCATTTTCATGAAGAATCCACGTTATTAATCGGTATATTACGCATGTGTTAATTTTATTTTATACAAGAACTTTCCATTAAAGTTGTATCTATAAGTTAGAGAATTTCATAAAGCCATAGAGCGTATTACTTTCATTTCGGAGTCGAGTGCATCATATGCAATGGTACTTTTTTTTCCCCGCATTATAACACAAACATGCGATTCCTTTCTTGTCACAATTTATGTCTGGCATCATATAATACCTCCATATTTTGGCTAGGATCTCGGTCAATATAAGAAAAATATAATATCTCCGAAAAACTTTTAATTTTTTTTCACATAGTTCACAAGAAAACATTTCATTCGTTCGATTGGCATTAGCTAGAAATCGGATCGAGTTTTAGCAAAGAAATAAAGAAGCAAACAAACATGCATATCATCGTCAACGCCATTTTCTGTCGATACATCCAGCATTCATAAAGAGATAAAGAGTACAGAAAACCAAGAACACAATGAATATTCTATGTGCATAATAATGATATGCGCAGCTGTATGCGCAGTAAAATTGTTTAATTTCTAGTTTCCTCTGCACGTGCAGTTTTTGATTTTACGTTTGTGCATTTTATACCCCTTAATCGTGTAAAAAATTTCGGATTCGTGTATTTTTCGTTATGTTTGTGTTAAAATCTTTCAAACTATGTGCAATTTTTACCGATACGTGCATTTTTATTTTACTCGTGTATATTTTTCATAAACCTCGTGTATAAAATCGTGATCGTTGTGCAGAAAATAATTTTGAAGCAATCGGCGTGCCATAGAATTCCATCTCAGGAAAAGTGAATAACGTATATAACATCTTTAAATTTAAAATGCTATATTTATTTATTTATTTAAAAACAATTTTAATTGATTCTGATATACATGTAGTTTAAGTGTACTTGAAATCATTATTTATAGCACTTATGCGACTGGATAAAAATATGTAACAAATCAAAACCACTCAAAAGTTGAGTGTTACAGAAAAGTCAAACGCTACAAAATTAGAAATGTTATCTAAGCTAGAGCTTTTAATTCCATATTTTATTATCTGAAGATTTATACCTTTAGAACAATTCAAATGAATACTTAATAATGTGTAAGCCTGAGATCGGTCTCGAATGTGCAAGTTGCTTCTTAAAACTACTTTTTCATGCTCTTTGTGTATATTTTACAAATGAGAAACGAGAGATCAAACGATAAAAGGAAAGAAGGCAACTGTGTGTGATGTTGTCATCTAGTCGTTATTAAATCTTAACTCATCATTAAATCACGATCGATTCTCATCTCTGCAGTTCGCCTCGATTAGCTGCAGATCTGTAGCTTGCTGGCCTGATAAAAAAAAAAATAGGGCGCCCATCCTTAATATTTTTTTTCTTTTCAGATCAGCGAGCTACAGATCTGCATTTACGCCTAGATAATATTAACATGCAGTCTTCGCATAAAATCTTATTTAATCATAGCAATGAAGAAATATGTCCCTACTTTTGTTCAATCTGTTTCTCTTTAATGAACTCAAGGGAATAAAATTATAAAACTCATAAAAAGAACTCATTGTTTTTATTCAGTTCTTCTATTTATTAAAAATCAAATTCTGATACAATACACGAACTTGAACATTCATGTACACATGTACTAGTCCAAAATTATCAAAAATTAGACCTAGGCGCGAGAACAAAAACAAAAGTTCAATGTGTGACAAAAGACTAAATTCACATAAATTTCATCATGACTCTATCCTACCTCTATCCTATCCTACAAAAGAAAAAAAAAACTTGTTGTGATGAATGCATGTTGATTAAAATTTAAATATAAAATGCTGGTACTTGTATTCATGTCAGTCTGTAAACAACTTATATTTCATTTAGGGATGGCAATCGAATACAGAATTGCTAATCGGTTAACCGCAAGACGTTCCGACCGATTAACCGGTTAGTCGTATCGTATCAAAATACACATTTTTTGACTTTTTTTTATGTATTTGTATTTATATACACAAGAAGACTGAAAGAGAGACGTGGTTAGAAGTTAGAAACATTCTGCTTATTATCTTGATCAGGAAACTATATGTACATATACATTATTTTATTTCAATTTCAATAGTTAGACAAAAAAAAAAAAAAAAAAAAACAACATGAATCTTGCATGAGAAATCAGACACAGAAAGATATCTTTCCAGTTGCAGATGTCGCACAAATTCATTCTTCATTGTCACAGTAATCAAAACTTTGTCCGAACTTTAACTTATACAATGTTTTTTTTTTTCTAATATAATAGAGAACGGCAAAAGATCGATACGTATACATACTCATTAAAAGTGCTCAATGGAGATTATGTAAAATCAAAAGTATTACGGGGTGGTCAGGGTATCAATATAATGTTTATAAAAACAGTAATTAATACTTCACAAATTGATCAACTATTACCTCGCGATCTCAATCCGGAGAGCCATAATTACCTCCAAATCAGATGTGTAAAAACGCTGAACTATCAACTTTGATGCAGCGATTTCCTTTCTTAAAAATGAAATTTAAGAAAATTGCGTTCAATTTTACATATCTTAAATTTTCCGACTAACCGATTGCAGATTTTCTAACCGATTACCATCGTTCCGACCGATTAATCGATTAACCGGTTACAAATTGCCACCCTTTATTTCATTTGTTTATCTTTTCAAATACATATACGTATAAAGTCTCATGTACAATATGCACTTTTTGTGTGATTGATGTCGGACAACAAAAACTTTTCGGGCTCTTGATTTCCCTCCTCCAAACTATTTGAATTTGGTTTTCTTTTAAAGCAATTATTTTAACAAAATTTATCAAATCTAACATAATTAATTGTGCTATAACTGTCTATTCCCACATTTATTTTACAAACGCTATTTCCAGTTTATTTGGAAATTAATTTTGCTATTGATTTTTTAAAATGTAGAGTTCATTAGTAAGTGATAAATAATTCTTAAACCAGTTATTGAATTTTATGATCAGGAAAAAATAATTGAAGTGATTTATTATAAATAATTTGATATGCAAAGGATAAGCACTAGCATTATTTCTTTATTAATACAAAAACAGAAAGAACATTGTATGAATAAACATGAAAACACTATATTCATGCACAGTAAGCAGGATAAATTTCATGGTCTTCTTGAAGAGCTACATTGTGGTCCAAACTATTGTATCCAACAGAGGCCATTTTCTATCCTGTGTAACTCTGATTTTTCTGTCTTTTCTGACAACCGGTTGAAAAAAATGAGCTCGGTTCAGATTTCTGCGGGGTTTTGGTCTCGTTGAAAAATGATTTCAAGTTTTTTATTACGTGTAAAACGGCAGAGTGATATTCTATTCCTTGATATGAAAGAGGAGTTTTAAGAATGCATTTTTTCATTTTATGAAAAAGTTACTGGTAGTTCTTTCTTTCATACTTGGGTCTAAAACCGATTCTGATTATCATATATATACATCAAAATACTTTGTTAAAAAATTCAGTGGATGTTATACGGTGAATAACTTAGCAAGGCTTAACCTTTCCGATTTTACATAAGTTTCTCGCAGATAAAGGGATTTTTATCGCTACAGAAAGCATCACTCCAAACTCCTTGTTTTCGAATCTCCAGACAATTGGCCGATACGCCATTGTTTGGTTCTCCGGGGATCCAGTTCGAAAAACCTAATACTGATTGGGAATATTGCCAAACATACACGCCTTCAGTGACGTCATCACGACCTCCAGACCAGACAGAAGTTCCTTAAAAAAATCAATATGCACAATGAATAAATATTGATAATTGGAATAATACGCTCTTTATGAAAAGGACTGCGTTCAAGATAGTAGATATCTAGCCCAACAGCTAAGCTAGCTTCTAAGTCTATTTAACACACTGTATGAATTGTTATTCCCATGTAGCGGCTAACTGGGCCAGCATATCGTTAAAGATCGTAGAGGTACGTAGCCGCAACGGTCTTTAACGTACCCAAGGACAATTCGTCAAATGATACCTATTTTACTTCAGTCTTAATAACGTTTATTTAAAAAAAGAAAACTATGGGCTTTAATGGTCATCTGCAGCGCCGCCAGGAAATCCAATACAATTGAAAAATCTGTACTGTTATAGCGCACTGATTATAATTCTGCATATTTTATGGCTACATTCCCTGAACATAGGTCATCCTTATGTCACCTACAAGTTTTTCACGATTTGATTTTTCAAAATTTATATAATCAGCCTTGAAAAATTTTCATTATCATCCTCAAAATAGAATCCTTGAATTAGATGCTTTAATTATAATGGTATGACATGCGCACTGGCTTTGTTATCATTATGTTACGAAGTCGCATGACATATTGTTACAAAATATAATTAATTCAATAAAATAATTGCCTTTATCTTAGCTTACACAATACATGTACAAAAATACTGGATAATTCAGTACAGGTTAATCATTCAGCATATATAAAAGAACGTAATATAGCCCTAAATGCAAGATTAATTGTTGATATTTTTGAATATTGTGAAGAAAAAGACTTGGAATCAATATTGCTATTTCTTTATTTTCAAAAAGCTTTTGAATCTGTAGAATAGAATTTTACGTTAAAGTTCTACAAAAATACAATTTTGGAGAAAACTTTTTAAAATGGGTCACCGCACTGTATAATAATCCTATTTTTTTAGAATTAAAAATAATGGGTGGATATCGAAATTATGCGATATGTATAGAGGTATAAGATGTCCTGTCTCTGCAATGTTATTCTTTTTGTTGTAGAAATATTAGCAATTGTTATCAGATGAAATCCAAACAAAGGGTTTTCAAAAATCTGGAATGACAAAAAGTATAAATATAATACAACATGCAGATGACTGCACACTTCCTTTAAAAGATCAGAAGACTCCTATACATTCTTTAGAGGTTATAGAATAATTTAGAAATGTATCTGGCATGAAACTAAATATGTCCAAAACAGAATGTCTCTTTTAAAACAGGTCAATGGAAAAAAAAACCCCAAAAAATAGAAAATGTTGATGTTACGAATACTTGCAAAAAAGCTCTAGGGTTTTTTTTATAGGCAAGAACAAAGAAACAGTTTACAATTAAAAAATGGACAAAAATTGTATACGATTTAGAAAAACTTTTTGAGTCACGGAAAACAAGAAAATGAACCATTTTTGGTAAAGTGTGTGTAATTAATAGTCTAAAAATATCAAAGATTATATATGATGGATCAGTTTTAAGTTTACAAATGAATTTGTAGTAAAAAAATTACGAAGTCTTCTATTCAATTTTATATGAAATAAATAAGACAGAATTAAAAGAAAAACTCATATTGGAAGTGCCCAAGATAGAGGAATAGGTATTGTTGTCGTACCATTGATGCCAAGACTCGGGGATAAAAACCCACAACTCGTTGGATATATAGAGGATATTCAATGTTTTGTAGTTGGATATGGAATTTATTTCACGAGTGGGACAGGATTTTTTGATATTTTCACGAAAAATAAATTCCATATCCAACTACAAAACATTGAATTTTCTATTTATTACATTTTCTTTGATTTTCCCTTTGCCTCTGTCTTTTGTTAACACAATGAAATAGGCTGTGACGTCATAGTTGAGCATTCGAGACGTCATGGCTCAGCAGTTGTGAGATGAAAACATTGTAACATGGATTCTAGCAACATATTTGGGAAGAAATTGGCAGTTTTAGTCTCTGTCAAGATGGTTTAGTTACTATCTCAATCTTATTACAGGCCAGAAATTATATTTTACTTACTTTGATATCCTTTCACACTGTGAGAGAATATCACTTTGGTATCCTTTCACACTGTGAGAGAATATCACTTTTATTCAATGAATAAATCACAGTATTTCACTGTTGAAAATGTAATAAAAAATCATATCAAACCACAAACCATGGGAGATCCTATATATATATTTACAGTTATCTTAATTCTGTTTATAACTTAGAAGGTTCATGCAAGGACAAGCAGAAAAAGCCAATGTAATATATAATTCCATACCCACTCTTTCGAGAAATTTTTCTGTAATCCATTCATTTTCTGTTCGGTCACCAATTTCTATAAGATACGCATTATGTGTCTGGCAGGTCGCCTAAATTAAAAAAGAACGCATTCCTTAAGGTTCATTGTCCTTCTGGTAAGAGAGATAACTCTTTCTGAGAGAATGGCTATTATTCCTTTAAAAATTATAAAGCTAAATGTCAAATTTTGCACTACAAGCTATTCTAGAAATGTTAACGTTAGCATTTCAATTAAAACTAAGATTTCTTTTAAAAAATAATTATTATTATTAAAAGCAAAATAATACATAAGTAAACAGAGGAATGGTGAGTCTTAATTTGAGTTTCAACACAAACATAAACATAATTATCAGTTAATCTTTTTACCTGAGCATCACTCCAGTCAGATCGAGTTTGGTTAAAAAAGTAACAATGCCCGCTATTCTCAGCCCAGCCATATTCACAAGCTACAAAAACACAAAATTTTGTCTTTCAAATTTTGAAATGTTTAAGCTAACTGTTAATGCAACTAATGAACTGTTTCCCTATTTAATGAAAACTTCGTCATTTTGACTCAACTTCTTAAAAAATAAATACACAAAAATATATTTCATTAATCATATTTTTAAAATATTGTTAATTATGGGGCCATATATGTGCATTCTAGCCCTTAGCTCTTTAACTTTCTCTTCTTTGATATTTGAGGAAGGGACACATTTCTATTCGTAAGAGCTTGCATTAATGCAAATCAGACATGCAATTTCTATTGTCTTCTCTTAGTTGTCAAATATCGTAAATTTCAATTTAAACCTAAGTGTCACCACAGTTAACTTATAGGCCTGATGTCACACCCCTCAAACCATTTTCAGTATCTTTTACTTTTGGTATTCAGCAAATTACGAGATCTGAGGAGTCTGTAGTAACTCTGACAAAATTACGGTGGGAATACAGTAAGACTTTCAATGGATCAGCTAAATTTATTCACAGAAGTAACTTGCTCTACTGAAGTACACACGGCGACATGATAAACATGACAAACAGAAAAGTTGTATCATAATATTGTTTTCACCGCATTTCAAATATACATACGTGGATTAAACGTACCCCTATATATTGAAAACGTATGAAAACGTTTTCAGTTAGTAATATTTTTAATTTCATTTCGTACTTTTATCATTATATTTTTCTTTTCAAGCATGCAAACAATTGTAGACAATACGCATCTTTCCCATGACAGTGCTCTGTTTATTGCAGAATTTAAATATTTGTTAAAACTGCTTCTTATTCACAACTTTTGAATGAAAAAAAGAGACCGGTCTCTTGAATTCAAATAATCATTGTATGGGTGTGTCATTTAAAGCAATGCTCTTCCCTCATTGTAAAAAAGTTTTTAAATTACTCAACAAGAGAGACATACACACTGTATTAACATGCTGTTGTACATTGTACATTATAAGCGAAATTCCACTTGGTTTCCTTAAAACGATAAAAAAGGAAATAATATCTTGCATCAAAAACTTTTCAAAACGTTTTTCAATGCAATCATTCTTAATTACTTACAATAAATAAATGAAAATTAAAGTATAAGGAATGAATTTAATAGCTGTCCAATTTATACGGTATAAACTGGGTTGGAAAAACATTTTTTTTTTCCTTTTTACGCTTTTTTATAAACCGTACAAATTGGGTAGCTATTAAATTCATTCCTTAAATAAAGCACAGAGAAATTCACTTTTTTTCATCATATTGTGACAAATATATTAAATGTATTGTGAAAGTCCAGTGAATAAAAATTACTCAAAACCTCAAAATTTAGCTTTAATTCGACACTTTTCAGTAATATCTATAAAAAAAAAAAAAAAAAAAAAAAAAAAAAAAAAAAAAAACAATCATTTTAACTTTCTTTTCTGAAAAGATAAGATTACTTTGAACATTCAGTAAAAGATTATAAGATAATTTTATTGCTTTTTAAATTTTTAATGACATTTTTCTGACATTCAGAAAGTTCAAATAAATGATTATGCGAAGTAATTTGAAATTTTCCCTTTGTCACAATTTTTAATCTGTGTATTCAAGATAGAATAAGACCGTATTTGTGCCCATGATTTATTTGAATGAAAAATATTTGAGAAAAAAGTGATTAATGTGTAAGACGCAATTACAGTGCAAAAAGGTCATATTAAATGCACCGTAGTGACAAAAGAAGCGTACTGACCTTCATTTTTATATTGATTTTTAATTCTGCTATGTGTGTAGATAGTAATATACTGTAAGACGCAATTACAGTGCAAAAGGTCATATTAAATGCACCGTAGTGACAAAAGAAGCGTACTGACCTTCATTTTTATATTGATTTTTAATTCTGCTATGTGTGTAGATAGTAATATACTTGACAAAAAATTCTAAAGACTTATGATAGCAGGATCCATCCTCCTTAACTTCTTCTGCAGAACAGCAGAGCCATATTAGTTATAATGTTCACAATGTTCAAAGCATCCCAAGTTTGTGTTTTGAAATTTTGAATTGAATTAAGATATTAATAGCCATTCTCTGTAAGCATTTAAACTTTTATATAGGGAGTGTGGCACGCTACATGTAGGTCTTGGATTTTTATGAAACTAAAATGGTTGCTATGGTCAATGGTTAACATGGCAACCAGCATACATTTTCATGGCGCAGAAAACGTTTAATTTTGATGACAAATTGCCTTTTATGACCAATTAAAAGTCTATAATTGAACAGGATATTTACATGACTATCTTTTTACCAAAATACATTATTTTTATAGTAATATACATAATTTCTAGTATTTGGATAACCTTTTCTCATAGAAAAAATATGCCCCGTTTTAAGTCGAATTTTTCTGGGGGGGGGGGGGGGAATAGCAGATTTGAGGCTCTTTTGAAAAGCCTGGTATAAAATTTTGCGGACATTTGAGAAAAAATAAATACATTGGTGTGAAAGTCCATATATAGTTCTAATATAAACTGCAAAGTAACATTTGGTATTCATATACTGTTTTCATGTTACCATGGTCACAAATTGACGCTTTTTTAAAGAATTCCAGGCAAGGGCAATAGGTATCTACAATCAGTTGCCATTATAATTATACCTGAGTATTTAAAAATGCATTAAAACCAAATTTAAATATATGTAGTACAGTCAATAGCAAAAACAAAGAGAAAGTCTATTTTCATGACAAAGGGTCAAAGGTCAAGGTCAAATTGACTCGATTTAGATAGAAATCTAAGGAAACTGGGCACAATTTTTTCTGTGTCATAACTATACTTGTGTTTTGAACAACATATAAATAAACAAAATTACAATTCTGGTGGACAATAATAAGCATCATATGAATTGATAAATACTGACAAAAAGTCAAAGTTCAAGGCCACAATGAGATATAAAATTTTGTCATTTTAGTATAGCATTTATACGTGGATATCGTGAATGTGGTATCCCGTTTTATATACATGTATTTTACTGAAACTGGTAATACATTCTCACCTTAAGCTTGATGCATAATGTGAAAATGGTCATCCTCGCAATGTCGAGGTTTTGTGATTTCGGAACTCCACACAAACCCTTGACATATGTCGTTTTTAAATGTTGGGCTAGAAAGCTATTATTTCATTTGTTCCTGGTCTAGGACTGGAACCAATCAGAAAACAGCTTTTATTGTAGGTAAGTTTTGTAAGAAAATATGACTCTTCTTTAAAATGTAAAATGTCACTATTTAGGATTTGTGACTAGTTACTTTAAATAAAACATCGGGGATTAATTTTTTGAACATCGTCCTTCTTACAATCACAAAAGATATACTCTGGAGTTGAGCAATTTGATAACGACGGATTTAAAAATATATATTCTCATTGTTTAGTTTATAATTACCCATTACGTCATGTGTAACCACAAGCCCAACTTTTAAATAACGACTTATGTCAAGGGTTTGTGTGGAGTTCCGAAATCACAAGACCTTAACATTGTGAGGATGGAAAATGGTATGTAAAATGGGTTTGAGGTCATTAATTGATAAAAAAGCAGCCAAGTTAAAATATCAAATTTAAAGCTTACACACTAACCATATTGGGTGACTTGTGTGTAGAGAATTTTGCTACATGCATGTAAAATCACTCTTTTAATTTTGTAGACTAAGTCCTTATTTTAAAATGTACATTTTCTGACCCTGCCCAACACTCCGCACTTTTCAAAAGGCAGTCATTTTTTTTTTAGAGAAGTTTACAGAAAAAGTTTTTTCTTTTAATATTGTTCTGATAAACTTGAAAATTTAGAGACACTGATAATAAATATTTCGACCCAAATATGCCTGGATTTACGTAATAGATCGGCTATTTCCAAAATTTACTCATAATAATCTGTTGTAAAAATCTGCTGAATCTGTTCGGATAATCTGTTTTTGTGCTTTCTTGAATTTGTGTCGGCTGCTAAGTTTGAGTTGGTTGGTAAGCTTGATGGAATCGTACACTTTATGGTGTATAATGTTAACATAATTTCTAAACTTTAGTGCTTGAAAATGCTGAAAATAAATAATCTGTCCCTGCCTTCCCCCTACGGTTTTCATTTTTTGAAATGAATAATTATACTAATTAAAAGTGACCAATCACCAGGACTTACCCCAACACTTCCAGGAACCATGTAAATGCACTTACCCCACATAATTTGATAAGAATCATTCATATGTATTACAATGTAAGAAAAACATGGATCCCTTGTAAATCGGTAAGAAGAGTTATTTAAATTATAAATATGAAAGAAAGCGGTTCATTCACAAGTGATTAACCCTGATGTATAGATTTTTTATTTTGTTTAATTTTTATCATTTTTGTTTGTATTTCTTTTGTCGGAAGGGGGGGGGGGGGGCAAGGACTTGTCAGAAATTTATATGTGTTTCCGTTATTTATACAATACAGCTAGACATATTTATATTTAATGCTATAAGGTTTGAAATCTAAATGCATCTTAGAGAAATGATCAAACGATCAACCTTAACTTTAATTTTGAGTTTGAAATCCCCCCCCCCCCTTAAAAGCAAGAAAATTTAAAATGGTACAAAATTTATTTGTTAAGGGCAATTTTGAATGGTCAACAGGAATCAAACAAATCATTTCTTATTGTTGGCCTTAACAAATTTTCATTTTTTTATTGGGTAAGGACCTTTCTCTTACAGAAAATTCCTTGATTAGCATCTGTACATCACAGCATTGATTGTTTTCAAAAGCATTGAATAAAAAGTCAAAATCTGAAATATACACACATAACTTTTCTCTCTTTTTTGTGATACAGATAAAGGCTACGAAAGCCTATTAGGATCAATCTATGGAGAAAAAAAATTAAAAGGTGTCATTACCTGCAAAGAACGGAAGTTTACATGGTTGCATGGTAACGACACTAAGGGCGATAATCGTGGTATAACATATAGCGCGCTTAATGTCTCTGATGTATAGCAAGTGTCCTGTAAATTTTGTAACAAATTAGTTATACATTAAATGAAATGAGTCTTCCCAGTGCCGCCTTAGCCTGTGATAACCAAACTTTAGCCAGTATTTATCATTTTCACTGTCTTTTCTTGTCGGTAAACATTTTTCTGCGAAGCTGGAAGTCCTTGGGTGCATGTTACCATTCGCTTTCGATTACCCTATACAATGATTATCTGCCCTTGCCATTTTGTAAACTTCCGTTCTTCCCAGGTCGGTTTAGAAAAATGAGCTGCAAATTGTAGAAATTGTATCCGTTTTCTGTTGATTAAACGCGTGTTGCCGGTCGACTGACAAACGCATCAACATTTAGGAAAATCATCACTGTAGGTAACAGAACCATAACAACAAAATAAATTAATTTTTTAGAGTCCAGAAATTGGCTTTGAAGTGGTGGGGGTATTTTTTTCCAAGAAGAGAGCCTTCGTCCTTTGTAGAGTTTATGTATATAGGTGTGGTACGTCTTTTTTAAACGTGTTTTTTCTCATACAACGAGTTCGAGGTCGATATCGACGATATCGACAATATTATATCGATATCGAATCGATATCGTTTCTTATCAGAACTATTTATTGGAAATACTTGATACCATATATGAGACTTGGTACTATGTCTATGTCGTCGATATACCATAGATATCGATATCGATCCTATTTGTATAATTCATTTTCAAAATGAAGTATAACCTAATTTTACGAGGCTACAAGTGATGTAGATATTGATTGATTATTGGCATGAATATAAAAATAAATTAGGATTGGGATTACATACAAATGGTTGGGGTTTGTTATTGTCTTGGGTAAGGTTTAGAGTAAGGTGTTGGGTCAGGGTGAAAGTTGGTGATGCTGTTTTTAACAATCATGATTCTATGTCGTAAACTATATCGTCGATATCGACGATATCGACAGAATGGTCAGCTTAGCTATTAATCAGAAAGTAAATATGCCCAAGTATTGCATTAAGAAATACAGAAGTTGTTGTCTTCGGTTAGGTTAAAAGTAAGATTTTGTGTTAGGGTGAAAGTTGGTAAGGCATTATGTTTTTAACAATCATGATTCGATATCGATACAATATCGTCGATATCGACGATATTGATAGCAAGTACAATCTTAGTTAAGGTAAAGTATTTAAAGATAGATACACATACACAGTAACATAGACGGTACTTATATGTGGAGCAAACATGATTCGATATCAACACTACAGGGAAAGCTTTATAAGTGATAGTTTCTAAGTAACTCACATTTAAAAACACAATATTAAGGGTGGAAACCATAATCCTTTGAACAATCATGATTCGTTATCGGTGCGATGTCGTGGATATTGACAGTAAGGAAAACTTCTTAAAACAGAAAGTATTCTTATATACATGTACATACAAAACTAGAAAAATATTATAGCAAACTATATAAAAGTAATCTGTCAATATTGTAACTATATCTTGTCTTGGACATAACTCTTTTTTCTTGACTGAAAGTGTCAGAATCTTTTATTGAACAACTTTTAGGTGTATTTAAAGTATATTCAAAATTTTATTAATTTATTTTACATTTAACAATCCGGAAGGCAAGCCCCTATGGATTGATATACCTCTTAAAGGTTACATCCAGAGTGTCCTCAAATTTTCAAACCTAACACAAGTATTGATATTTCGTATGCAAAATTAAGTTTTTCCAATCATCAGGTCTATTAGATATTCAATTACATGCTTCAGTAGAAATTTAAAACTAAAAACGATTCTGGATCCGGTTGTATCAATATTTAATATAATGAGCGATTAAAGCTTCAATAAACTGATCATTTTTAATGTGTCATTAAATTCCGTTGTATTAATGTTTTAATGAACGAATCGGTGCATTAAAGCTTCATTAAATTCGTCAACTTTAATGAAGGTAAGAGGGCTTCATTATGTGATCATTAAGTATGGCGGCCAGCCTTATGTAGGCAGACGGAGATAAGATAGAGTGTTTCGTGAGCGTTTTTCACTGCACATCTGGCGTATTCGACTGGTTGATTTCGTGAAGAAACTAAAAATTAAAAAAAACTATTTACATTCGAAATTCGAAATTCTTGCACATCTCGCAGATGCATGCATATTAAGAGAGGTCAACACACTACTGGTGTAAATCCAGGATATAGGCAAAAGCAGCTTGGGGCTTCGCTGGCCATGTATTAAATATTCATGTCAAATTTGAAATATTTTACTCTCCTCTTGGAAAAAAGCTGGCAAACTATTTGCATGGGTATAATGAGCAATTAGCCTTCAACCAAATTTGTAAAATCCATGACCCTTGGTAGAGAAGTCTGGCATCAGAGAAGGACTAAGTTGGTTTAACATTGAAAATATATTACCCATTTAAATTTTTTTCCCTGGAAATTTAATTACAATATGTTTAAATTACTTTTTTTGAAAAATTACCCTATATTTAATCGTGAAATTCATATCCCGAGGGTACGATTTTAGCCCCCGGGGTGGGCTAAGTTAGTCATGTATTGAAAATAAAAGGCGTAATAACGCCTTTTGGAAAATTGTAATCACGCCTTTTGAAAAGGCGTGATAACACCCTTAGAAAAGGCGTAATAACGTCTTTTTGAAAAGCGTAATAACGCCTTTTTGAAAGGCATTATAACGCCTTTTACATGTAGAAAGGCGGAATAACGCCTTTTGGAAAGGCGTAACAACGCCTTTTGAAAAGGCGTAATAACGCCTTTCTAAAAAAGGCGTAATAATGCTTTTTTTTCGCGTTAATACGCCTTTTTTTGCGATATTCCGCCTTTTCAAAAGGCGTTATAACGCCTTTTAAATTTTTTCCCCATAGATTGATCCTAATTAATAGGCTTTCGTAAAAGGCAATTTGTATATAGCAGGAATTAAAAAGATTGAAAGTTTTCTGTTACACCCCCACTAAAAATAAGATTGTTAGTTGTGGATTTTTTCCTACATGTAGCCTTTTTGCAACATTTAAATAGAAATAATTTACAAAGAAATAAAACATGACGTTTTAAAATTCGGGATGGGGTGTAAACAGCATTATTTTATATTTATACCAAAATCTATCAAGTGAAAACATTCATCGTATAAAAATTATGAATCATGAATGACATAAATCCTGTTTAAAATTGCATTATATAACTGCGTTGACTATAGGTTAGGGGACGATCACATGATTCGGAAGGGGGGGGGGGGATTTGTGCGAGTCAGATTATTTATTTTCATGGTGGTGAAGGACAGATAATTTAATTCCAGGATGATCCAGGACAGATTATTTATTTCCTTCTTCACTGAAAAAAAGTCTGACTAGCCAAAACAAAAAGGGAAAACGCCGAAACTCTATTTCGTAGGGGGGGGGGGTGTCGTAGCACTTATCAAGGAAAGACTATTTATTTTCCTGCCAGTCAAAGACAGATTATTTGTTTTCAACATTTTCAAGAACAGAATATTAATTTCCAAAATCTGTGCTTCTTCTTACAACCAATTAAATATAATTTTGATATCTCAAGCTTATCTTTTATCCATTTTTAAAATCCCTTGAGGCTTAGTCTTCAATGTGTCATGAATGTGTACATAGCTCATTTCGTATGCCATCTGGTCTTGTACATTTCACATATGTAAATTACTCTTTTGAATGCAGGAAATAAACAAAGAGGATAAAATTTGTATCCAAAAAACTTGATTTTACTTGAAATCCAGGACATATGATAACAATGTAAACAACTTCCAGTCAGTTTTGTCCAAAGATTTTTTTATCTCTTACTCTTTCATAAACCATTTTCTTTAACTAAACATGGTAAAGAAATAGTTCATTTTCTCTGGCATCATTCAAATTTGAATGTTAAGAAAGTCAATGATGATAATTATATGCACCATTAAGGGTACCTGCAAATATCCATTGAAAAATTATGTAAAATTATGTAAAATACTACATATGTACTTACTTTTGTGAGTGTTACTCTTTCTTCCAAATCAAATAATTACCACTTTTCATATTAACGTCACAATAAAACATGTATTTGTTGAAGGATCAACGGATTAAGTTGAAATTGACGTAACGTGAACCTTAAAACAATGTTTCTTCATTCCTTTTGATATTGGCGAGTGATCTTTCAAAAATGAGACATTTCAAAAAAGCAAATGGTTTTGGAATAATTCAATCTGAATACTTAAAAACATTTTTTTTCAGCTTCTGTGCCTTCTCGAAGGAAAAACAATCTAAAATATGCAAAATAGTTTTCTTTTCACATAATGGTGTAGTAACCACACAGAATAATGAAGATCACGTACCATTTTTAATGTTGTAAAATCGCCATCCTCGACTTGCTTGCTTGTTTAATCCGTAAAGAGAACAAATCATCAACTGACAGTCCTTCTGTGCAATATTATACCCAAAACCCTCACATTTAAGACTTAAAACACATTGATACGCGCACATCAATTTATCTATCCCAGAAAAAGTATTGATAACCACCCCCGAAGATTCAGGAAGAAAATTAGCCAAATTGGGATCTGTCTCAAATAGAGATTTCTGTATGCTTTCCGCCATAGCACAAACTAGAAGCACCGCTACAAAAATTAATCTCCAATTCTTGGCTACCAGTTTTGCCGATTCTAAAAGCATAGATACCAACATTTTTATTTGAAGTATAAAGGAGTGGTTTTGCTGTGTGTAGTGAAGACCCGTCTCATTGAAAAGTACCTGGCTATTGATTTTTATACCTCTTAAAGGTTACATCCAGAGAGTCATCAAATTTTCAAATTTGCAATATTAAGTTTTTCCAATCATCAGACCTATCAGATATTTAAATATTCAGTTACATGCTTCAGTAAAAATTAATAACTAGAAACGATTCTGAAGATAAAGCTAATTCTTCTTTGAAATATTGGTGCAACTGTTGACATATTCTTTGCTTCTCTATTTCTCTACTCTTTGGCTAAATACAAATTGAAATGCATTGAAACAACCATGGATCAACCGGCTTGACATAGGTTCTAAATCAAAATAGCGTTCTAGCCACAGGCACTTGTTTCGTATACGGGGCACCCCTACTTATTTTTACCACAGGCACTTGTTTCGTATACGGGGCACCCCTACTTATTTTTACCAGTAAGCATAAGTAAGGGTACCCCGTATACGAAACAAGTGCCTGTGGTTCTAGCGTTCTATTAAAAATCAAACACTTCAGATCTATAAACAAGAGAACCACGGTTTCAACACGCAAAGATTTATTATCAGCTGGCTGCTATCGATACAATTTTAGAAGAACAAGAAAGATTACAGCTAGGTTGGAATAGCTGGGCACCAGGGAGGGCGGCAGCTAAAGACAGAGGCAGGTGGAGGCAATGTATTGGGGCCTAATGTCTTTCCTGATTTAGGATAGGTGAGGTGAGGTTTGTTTGTTTGTTTATTGTTATTTAACGTCCCTCTCGAGAATTTTTCACTCATATGGAGACGCCACCACTTGCCGGGGGAGAGCTGCAAAGTCTGATCTATACTCGGCACTTAGGGCCATTGAGCAGCGAGGGATCTTTTTCGTGGCAGCACCTACTGCGACACGCGGGACCTCGATCGGTTTTTACTGTCTCATCCGAAGGACCGGTCTCCACGACCCACAGTGGGATTCGAACCCGCGACGTAAGGATCAACTCCTTACTCCGCGACTCTAGAGCAAAAGCCCTATAACCACTACACAACGCGGGCGACGGTGAGGTGAGGTGAGGATCGATTAAATTTCATAAATATTATGAATTTTGTCGAAGAATATGCCAGGCGATGGGTCAAATATGAAGAAGACGACACAAGGTCAGAATAGATAAAAAGTATAAAATGGATGAAATCTCGTTTTAAAGTGTTGAGGGACAATATGAAAACTATTTAACCTTCTGTCTTCAATAATTTAGAAGTGAAAAAAAAAATAGATTACACGATCCATATGTACTGGTGCCAGCAGGCAACGGCATATATTTTGTTTGTAAGGCTTATTATTACGTTTGCATTTTTGAGAAACTTGGATATTATTCAACAATTATTAGCCCAACTTATACTCATAGTTCCCTTTCTAAGGAGGAAATTCTTTCAAAATCATATGTCAGTTTTAAATATTTTAATATTCCCAACAAACAAATTGAATTGGAATAACCATATCTATACTGGATTCCTAAACTTCTTAAAATCATTAAAACAAAGATACATAGTAAATGTTTTACCAAATCTCTTTCTTAACTTCTCACGAAAATATTAACCGAGTGAAGGAGAAACTTCAGAAGTATTGTACAACAACATATTCGAGAAGTGGTGTTATTCAAATGTGGATACTTGAAAACTCCAAGGAGCTTCTAGAAAATTTGAATTTTTTTCCCAAAATCATCAAAACCTGCAGCTTTTCAACACTTTATACAACCATTTCCCACCATAAACTAATAAAGACAAGATTTTCTGACATCATAGACAACTGCTTCCTCAATAAAAATAGACCTCTTTAATTTAATTACCATGTGTCATCTACAAACTTGTTTTGTTAATTGTGTCGCGTTATATTTGAGCAGTCCCGTTTTTGTATTCATACGAAGCAGAATTTATTCAAAGAACTTCTATATGAAAAGATGTCTCTTGCTGTGGCATTCAATTCATTCTACAATTAGAAAATTAATGAACAATATTCAGTTTCATTCCTAAACAGGCGCGGATTCGGGAATTTTTTTCCAGGGCGGGGTCCACCCCAGTAAAAAAAAAACTATTTCCAAAATGTGACAAAAATCTATTTCGTGGTGGTGATGGTGGGGTCCACGTTTTCGGGTGGGGGGGGGGGAGTCATATTTTGTTCGCTTCATTATATACTTTTAATAACTGCAAATTAAAGGGGGGGGGTCTTTCTTATCCTTGACACATCATCGTATCTCCATTGGATCAAAAGTGTCCAAAGGGTCAAAGTTGTTGGTATCCAAAGGAAGGTCTTGTCACAAATATTACATATGTCAAGTATGAAACCCCTAGCACCAACCGTTCAAAAGTTATGGGCAATGTTAAAGTTTTTGCAGACAAACAGACAGACAGACGGACAGGGCAAAAACTATATACCCCCGAATCTTCGATACGGGGCCTAAAAATTATTTCTCTATTAAATTAGTATCTATTAGATCTTTAACATGATGTATAAGGAAACATAAAAGTTTATAGAAATGCCAGAATGAATGCATGCTTTTTACATCCGCAATAGGTGATCAGAATTAAAACAAAAATGACCAGACACATATTTATCAGCCTGCACTAAAAATATAGGTAATGGGAATAAAATTCTATCTCAGCATATGTATTTTGATATAGGCTAAACACCTGCCAAATATTTCATTGATATCTCAACTCACAAAACTTATGCCCAAAACCTGATGCTTAAAATGTCAGGAGTGCAACACCTTTTTTGTGATTTTGAAAATTCAATATTTTTTGAAGATCTGTCAAATACTTGTTAATAAAAATGGTTTATGTTTGGGATAGACTTTCCTGATAATATTCAAAGTATTGAGCTTTAAATTTTAGACTGTAACAACTTTTGTTTGACCAAGTTGTGGCAATTGCTTATGCTGAAAATTTTTTTATACATGCCAGGAGGGCAAAAAAAAAAATGTAGTTTAAAAAAAATCACTTACTTTAAAAATATATATAATAACAATTAAGTCAAAAAATATTTACAAAGTGCCAAACAATAACTGGTATGCCAATAAAGATTTTAAAATGTTATATAAATCACAAGCAGCATTAATGAGTGTCAAGTATCTGTACATACCCAATTTTGTCAGGAGTGCAACATTTGATGTTTTGCTAGCCAGCATTGGATAAACGTTTATCAGTGTATAATTCTCTGATTTCTATTTTGGAAAAGAAAGACACAAAGAACATTTTTACCAAATAGATCTATCAATTACAGGGTCTGTCTGTACGTGTTTCACATCGATATTTCAGGAGTGCAACACATTTTTTAAAGATCCAAGTTGTGATGAAAAGACTTTTATTATCATACTAATAAATATTCTTTAATCAAATAAATATTCTTTAATCAAATAATGATCTACTTGAATAATTTAGCATTAAATTATTGCCAGTTTTAATATTAAAATCTGTCTCTTTTTTCAATTAAATCAATCCAGAGGTGTTTTTATCTTCTTTCAAGTTTTTTTATGAAAATAATTTAAAAAAAAATAACACTAAAAAATTGCTATAAAATTCAATTCTTCCCCAGCCTCACTGAAACAACAGAACACGTTCTGATATAATTTATGTTAATCACAATTCTACTTTAAAGACTCTCATGCCCTTGGTCAGGAGTGCAACAAAAATGTTAGAATTACTGCTTATCAAATATAGATAAATATAAAGAAAAAAAATCGATGAGGAGAATGTTTCTGCATGGTTGACCTAAATTGCTTACAGTGTTTGTCCTGTGAAGGAAAATATACTATTAAAGAATATACTTTTATCTTCTAAATATATATTTTTAGCTAGTTTTTTGACATACATACTGGTAGGGAATAATTCAAGATATAAAGCCGAGTTTAAATACTTTTATGTGTTATAATCATGAAGTATTGGACTATAATTATTGCACAATTTTGTTAACACTTGATGTTGCCAACACTTTATGAATTTTTGTGTTCTATGCGTTTAATTGTAAATTTTGTAAAACAAAGCTGTTTTATAATTATCAATGAACTTCATCTATCTTTTCTAAAAATAATAATTGAAGAAAATGTTTGACACTATTTATAGTTCAAATCATTATGTTTATCAACAAATTACAGATGTTGTTTGGACATTTTACAGTCAAATCACAGAATAGTTTTCATCACTAAAGATATATTTAAAAATATATATAAAAGTTTTTTTTTTTCAAAAGATCCTTTATACGCATTTCAAAATCACTAAAAAGGCGTTTTCAATTGCTTTTCTATTCGTCTTTCCATCACAGCCTTAGAATGGCTCTTCTCGGTTTTTGAAAATTTTGCTTATTCTAACAGACCTCAAAGCAATCTTAGTTGATTGATTACTGCTTAGGTGATTACATTTTTGACAATTTCTCTTGTTTAATCCTTTTTATGCCCCCGTATCGAAGATTCGGGGGTATATAGTTTTTGCCCTGTCCGTCCGTCTGTCTGTTTGTCCGCAATTGGTTGGAGCTATGACTTTCATATTTCACATGTGTATTCCTTGTGACAAGACCTTTTTTTGGGTACCATCATATTTGATCTTGACCTTGGAGTTTGATCCAGTTTTGCAACATTTTACCAAACTTTAACCTTGGCCTTAACTTTTGAACGGTTGGTGCTAGGGCTTTCGTACTTCACATGTGTAATCCTTGTGACAAGACCTTCTTTAAATATCAACAATTTTGACCCTTAGACTTTGACCTAGGAGTTTAACCTACTTTTTAAAAACTTTAACCTTGGCCACAACTTTTGAACGGTTGGTGCTAGCGCTTTCATACTTCACATATATATTCCTTGTGACAAGAACTTACTTGGAATACCAACAACTTTGACCGTTTGACCTTGAAGTTTGACCTACTTTCGAAAAGCTTAACATTGGCCAAAACTTTTGAACGGT